TGAGGCCTGCGTGTGCGGTGGTGCAGTAATGGGGGGGGGGCACTAGGCCCGGTGGAGCCGTGCTGAAGACGGAGACCGCGGGACTTTAGCCTGCGATGGGGGTGTTTGTGTGAGTCAGACCGTAAGAAACCCTCTGGGATGATAGCAGCTCCCTGCTGTGTCGATGGGGTAAGATTTAAGCCGAAGGCTGGCAACAAACAAGTTCCAGCTCCCTCAGCCTTTTCATGCTCTTGTGCTGAGGTCGTGCCCTTGCTTCCAGTCAGGGCTTGTCCAGATGCTAGCCTTAAGGTAACAACTGAACTGTGGTCATTCGGTGTTATATACTTACTTGGTCGTGAGTTCAGTTTAAAAAAGCAAACCAACAGAGTAACTGATTCTTGTTTCCATCACTGAAATATTCTTTTTCTTGCAGAGGTCCAAGCCTCCTAAACAAGATGTATGTGAAAAACTTGCCTTAACCTGCAGAAAGAAGGAAAAGGAACTCCTTAAATGTATTGATTTCTCCATGCTGTACAGCAAGTATCGTAATATCAATGAGCAGCAGGAACGCAGTGAACGCAAAAGACTGCACAACAGTGTACAGAGAAGGGTAGATGAGACAATGCAGGCATACCTGGCAGAGACTGAAGACAGGAGAGAGAGGTAATGCGCCACTAGCTAATACCTGTCTTACTAGTTTCAACCTCACTGTATCCTTAGAGGAATGATTACAGGAAAAAACACTCAGTAAATCTCAGCTCTGTATGTTAGACCATGCTTTGGGACACTGTCTTTTTTTCTCCATCATGATGGAGAGTATATGTACACTTACTTGTCAGCCGAATGGTGGGAGCCATTGGAGCAAGTAGGAGCTTTTGGGCTCTGGTTACTACTTCTAGAGACTGAAGCAATCACTGGAGATATGTATTCAAATACAGGAGCTACTGCCATCTGTACTGCATTTATAACCATGTCTGCCAAATGCAACAATGATGAGTAGTGTTTTAGTATTTCCACTGCTAAAAAAGAAATTTTAGAAGAATGAAGAGTACTATGATAAAAAAGTTGGAAAACCTAATTGTTGGATGTAATTGTGATTTTTGTTGTGACCTCATTAAATTAATGTTTAGTTCTCCTACAAATAATAGATTGCAGCACAGGCAATTGGAAAAAAATTTTATTCCGAAATCATTCAAAAAAAATAAAGCTGAGGCATATTAGAATTTCACTATAGTGATCTGAGAAAATAGTCTTACAGTTCAATTTCTTGTTTACAGTCTTTCATGTTTGCAGCTGCAAAGGTTATCCGTTTGAAATTGTGATCTAATGCTCCTCACTGGACAGGAATTGTATGCTAATTTCATTCTTATTTATCTGCTCGAGATCCCCACGCAGTCTTTGCAGTGAGACTCAGCTCAGTGCAGTGGGTGTGCATACAGAAAGAGAGTGCAATTCAGTTTCCACAATGAGTCAGTCTTTGGCTTTGCTGCTGCAGCTCCCACCAGCTGCGCCTGTGTAGCTCACACAGTAGCAGGGACACCCCCTTTCTTAAAAGTGAGGGCGACTTCCTGGAGGTCACTGTGGACATGAGGGCTGGAATTAGCGAGTTCCTTGTTCTTCACCCCAAGTTTCTTGTTGCTAGAATAAGTTCTGAAACAGCCTTGGAAATGGATTCCTAAGATAAGGAGCTTAAATTGTGCCGAGACAGAAACTGCTGTGCCCGTGGAGGGGATCTTGAGGCATAACAGGAATGATCCCTGAGCTAAAATTCGATTTTATAATATGGGATTTGGATGTTCCCTGCGCATGCATTTGCAAGAAGTGCTGAAAGTATCTCAGTAACCATTTGTTGATTGTTTTCTTCACACCACATTTGTGTTGTGTTAGCCCTATGCCTGAGGGCTGCTGAACAAGCCCTTTTTTAGCTCAGTTTGATCACATTTTTTCCCATGCTATGATGTCTAAACCCCAAATGTAATTTAGTTCCCAGCCGAGAAGTCTAGACAGATACACTGGCATTATGTTTCTGATCCCTTTCTTTAAAAAATAGAAATTGCGCCAGCATAATTTAATTGTATTAGCTTTTAAAGCAGCCTTCTTGTCAGGGATGCCCAAGCCTGCATTTGCCAACAGTGTGACTGTTTTAGACCCGTGCTTCATTAATATCTAAATGACTTCTTTATCCTTTGCTGTGATACTTGCATTTTCAAGAAAAATGGATTTAAACAAATCTATATGTTGCTCTAATAGCTATTTATTGCTGGACTAATATCAGATATAAAAAAAAGATTAATGATCTATCCAAAACAAAGCAGCATAACATTAAGAAAAAGGTTCCTTTGGCTTATCAATTAAATTGAAAAGAGAAATCTTGCCAAAGAAAATATTAATGCACTTAACAAAAGAATGGTAATTCTTAGTTGTAAAATCAAGGTAGATCTCTACAGAGTGGAAGTATTGATTCATCAGCGTGCTGATAGGATTTGCCACCACACAAGAAAACTAGCATTTGACGTACCTGATTCTCTTGGTTATATATAATGGGGTTTTTTTTTCCTTTGTTGAACAGAGATTCTTCTGGACAATGTGTGTGGAGAACAGCTTCAGTCTGTTTGCCTTCACAATAAATAAACTAAAATGTATCAATTGACAGAGAAGGCTGTTTTAGCTTTTATTACAATGTTTTCTTCGTTATAGGCTTCGTGAACTTTTGGAATCAGAGGAAAGCAGGTACTTTGCTGAGATGGAGTCACTTGAAGAAACTGTCCTGGAAAAACAAGCAAAAATGAGGGAGCGAGCAAAGTTGCTGAGAGAGAAGAGAGAGCAAGAAAGACAAAAACTGGTTACTGAAAAACGGGAGCAGCAATTCAGGTATCTCCATAAAATATCTTATTAAATAGAATTTAGGTTACTAAATACAAAGAGGCAATTTAACAAGCAGGTGACAATATATTGAGGAAGGAAAGGTACATGTAATTGAAATGATAAATACAAAGTTAAGGTGATTTGGATAGATGTGTGCAAGCTTTGCCCGCTTGCCTGCTTGTCAAAAGTTGAAAGGTCTCAGGTAGTTTGCATACGTTGGACCAGATTGTAGTCCTTCTGATCTTTATTAAAGGGATGCAGCCTTGGAGACCCAGTTTGCAATGCTGTAATGCTCGGTGAAGTCTGTGAACAACACTCTTCATTAACAGTGATGAAAGCAGCAGGTACATAGAGCTGTCCTGTCTCCATTGTTTAAGTGTTGAGACACCATGAAAAAATTCTTCCAAGTGCAGTATGGAAATCTTTGCCCTGTGTGAATATCCCTGCACTTTCTCCTGCTAAATCAGCTGTTTTTGTAGTTTCTTGTTGGGGCATACAGTTCTATTTTTGCTTTATACCTTGAGAATAAAAAGAGCCCATGGATGCTTAATGTGGCCTAAAATGTGCTTATTAAGCTGAATACATGGACAATCTTAATTTTTCAAGGATCTTCTAAAAAGATAGATTTTTATTTACTGTACACTTTTCAAGAGTTCTAGTTGAAGCTAAGGCTTTAATGCAACCTGAAGTTCTGAGCCAAATCTTCCTGGATGCTGAGCCTGGCAATTTTCTTTGAAGTCATTAAGGTTTGCGGGTGCTTATCAGGCCCTGAGGCCTTAGCATGAAATCTGACTTGTTCAGTTCTTGGGAATCTGGTTTTCTTAGGAAGGGATGAAAAAATTTTAAACCGCATCAATAGTAATCATAATTTCAAGAATCCTTCCCAAGCCTTCCACAGTGGTACGGAAATCCACAACAGCTACTCCTTACTGTGGAGAGGCTGAGGTATTACATTTCACTTCTGCATATACTCTGACTACCTAATTTGACAGATAAATGTCCTTTTCTTAAAAGTGGGTTTTATTGGCTGAGACTGATGTTGAGGCAGTATATGCAGTTCTGAATTCCCACGCTGGCTTGAAAATGTGTCCCTCACAATTTTCAATCCCTACCTTGTTCCCTACCCACAACCCAAAGCGATTAAAATTCACTTTTAAGATGGTTCAGTGGAGACGTTTCTGGAATGCCCTCTTACTTTGTACTCGTAGCCACTTTTGCATACCAAGGAAGGGATTCAGCTTGAGGTTTAGACACCTAAAAGTAGGTGTGTAAGTGTTGGTATTTCCATATTCACTGGATGTCTAAAATCACGTTCTACTCAGCAGATCTCCATTGAGATCAGGACAGTTAAAGAAGCCTAAGCTCACCTTGCGGTAGACACACTAGTCTGGCAGCTGAACTGCACCCTAAACACCACTGACTGTATTGACCAGATCTCCATTGACTAGAATGGGAATTTAACTGCTTGGCTTACATGTAGATTACTGTTTTAGATGCTTAATTCTTAACTTAGATGCTTAAAAATTGTGTTTTAATTGCAAAAACAATCCTACCGATGAATCTCATCCTCTGATGATATGTATTTAGACTTGCATGCTGCAGTTACCTGTCTTAATATCTCGGGTCCCTGGTCTTCCCAACACAATTCTCATGATCTATGGCTCACTCAGGGTCTCACTCGGTCCATCATCCTTCTACCTTTTCCAGTCTGCTGTTGGATAGGAGCAATATTCATGCCACACAATTCCCCATGTACATATGTCGCTGGAGCTTTTACATTTGGTGTTTTGCTGGCTGCAATTTTTAGAGGATTTAGAGGCGGCAAAATCATCTTTCTTCATGGCTATTATGAAAGTGGCAATACTTGGTGTCTTTGCAGATGAATCCTCATCCTACAGCACAGTTAAAGAAAAAGGTTCTGTGCATCGATGTAATGGTTATATATTTTTATAGTCAGAGTCTCTCTCCTTCTCTCCCTTTATCTAAGTTCTATCAAATTTCATGTGAAGGTCTCTATAAACAAAAAGTATAATAAAGCCAGGTGACGAGTTTGACTTGTTTGTTGACCTCTCCTTATGAAGCTGGATTATCTTTCTTCATGTATTTGCTCGGAAACGTTTTTAAAGCATTTTCCTCCCTTTTTTTTCAGTGAGAAAGGAAGTTTCTACTGTGGCGATAGAAGTTACCGATCTAATCAGAATCTGGTATCTGAATCCGCGCATACTAGTCTTCTCTAAGTCGGCCCAAACCTGTTGTTCCCCGCTGCTACTTGTCCCTTTCTTTCCCAAACTCTGCTGGTCCACGCAGAGGTCTAGGAGCAGGCTTTGCTGCATAGGAGGTATTGAGTACTTCCACTTTCTCTGTATCATCCGTCACTAGGTTGTATCCGCATCCATCAGTGGATCCCCGTTTTTCTTGAACTTCCTTTTGCTTCTAGTATATTGGTGAATCGCTTCTTGCAATCTTTTGTTGCCTGCTGTTTCCACCTCTTACATGTCTCTTTAGGTGCCTGAGTTCATAGAGAAGCCCTGTGCTTCCACACGGGCCTTGTGCTGACCTGGATGTAGAGGCTGCTTCAGGCCAGAAGGGATGTCTGCACCCACTGGGGCAGGAGATGCTGCCCTTTGGCACGTTGTCACCATTTGTAGGTGCTCTTTATCCATGAGTGGTGCCCTGTGTGTGCCCTGCCTTAACATGTATGACCTCAACATGCTCTTTTCACAGCCCCTGGTTGCTGGCGCTCTCTACGTGCCAGATAAATAGGAAGCGCAATGCGAGTCTGGTCTGCCACTCTGCAGATTCTCAGCTTGGTAGGGTGAGGGAGATTTGCCACTTGCTGTGCAAGTTCCTTTGTTTCAGATAGTCTAAGATATCTGTTGCTGGCAACACTTTCTCCTAGTTATCCCAACGTCTGCATGAGTTCGGGATGAGATGGAAAGTGAAGGGAACGTGTATGGAAGAGTGAAGCATTTGAAGAGCTGGTGAACAGTGCAGCATGACCTTCTCATGTCTTCAGAAGGTCCTTATAATTCACAGTGATTCTAATCTCTGCTGTTTTGGGTCCTGATTTTTGTTAAAAGGTATTGGTTTAAAACAGTTTTAAATTTGTCACTGGTACTTTTAATTAAATGAGCAGATTGTCTTTCTTGAGACATTGTTCATTCTGAGTTAGTGTGCTTGTAGTATCTTTCAAAGCAGAGAAGCAGTAATCCCCTCCCCCAGTCTTTTATTAACTCAGTGATTTTATTTGCTATAATGTCTGGTCTAAAATAAGACCTGTCAAAAGGCTGAATCCCATTATCACCAGTTATACAATGCAGAAAAATTGATGGCCCTGCTTTGTGCCGGGAGTTGGGCTGGATGACCTGCAGAGGTCCCTTCCAAAATCTGCTGTTGCATGGTTGTATGGCTGCAATAAGCACTTCACAGAAAGCTGGCCTTAAACCCCATGAGCAAAGATGCTGTTCAAAATTTGGTTCTAGTTTAGGGGTTTTGGTGGGACAGCTGCTCTGTATTAGCAATCACAATACAATTCTGAATGTGTCCAGTAGTGCATTGGAGCAGGAGAGGGCAAGCCAGATAAGTCCAGTGCATCATATTCAACTTCAAGAAAGGAAGTATGTAAAAATGAGGCAATTAATAATAATAATAATAATAATGATGAAACTTAAAAGGAGCAGTTCGGAATTTAAGAAGCCTACAAACAGTTTGGAGGCTGTTCAAAGACACTAGAAGCCAAAGTGAAATGTATGCTACAATTTGAAAAGAAAACAAAGCATTTCAATAAAATTCCTCCCTACATGGCTCGGTAGAAATATTAAGGATTCACTGGGAAAAGGCTAGCACTTAAAAACGGAACTTTTGCCCATACAGAGAGAGTAGGAAAAGCTCATAAAGCATGGCAGGTCATATGTGAACAGAAAGTTAAAAGAGCTAAAAAAGATTACAAAGGCACCTTTTTAAAAGGTTGTTAAAAGCTTATAGTAATTTATTTTACTATATTGAAGCGGAAAGCTAGCTAGCCACTGATGGTACCATTTTGTGACAAAGATACGAAAGAGGCACTCGGTGATGATCAGTCCATAGCAGAAAATGAATTATTGGCATACATTTTCACTGCTGAGGATTTGGGGGGAACTCCTGCCTCAGTGCATTCCTTGCAGCCAATACGTTGGAGGAGCGCATTAAATATGAAGTAAATATAAAGAAGCTTGAGATCCAGAATACAAGTCAGTGAGTCACTTGGACTCTAGGGCATGCACCTGAGAGGCCTCAAGGAGCTTGAACACCCTTGCAGCAGGATGCTGTGGGGGCAGCTGGTATCAGCATGTCCAAGGAGAGATGAGGCAAAGTTGTGGATGACAGAGCCATAAAAAGATAGTACAGGGAATAGACAAGGATGTGATGTACCCACAAACATCCTTAATACAACAAGTTTTGGATGCTGGGGAACTGTGAGGTAATGACCACAGCGTGGCCAGATTTGTGGATTCTTCCTAGATGGCATCTCCTGTTGTTGCTGGCAGAGACGGAGCACAGGGCTAGCTGGACCGCTGATCTTTTGCTGTTATATAAAATGCTATTAGAGAGCTATATGGAAAGAAGCTCTAGAGGATGAAAAGGCTTGGGTCTGGACACAGTGGGAAGGGGTGGCATATTTCACTTGTGGGCTTGAGCACCAGAACAGCCGTTTTTCTGCCACCCAGGGATACCTGGAGCTGGCTGTGCCCAAAGCAGAATGGGTGTGTGGTTGGGAGAGAACGGAGGGGTGGGCAGAAGGGCAAAATTCCTTCCCGAGTGAGATAAAGATTAAGGAATGATTTTGGGGGAGGCGGGAAGAGAAGATCTGAGTCTTGGACGTCTGTCCTTGATAGGTTTGGGTTGTTAGGAGGAAGCAGGAAGTATTCGCATTGCGGGTGTTCGCGTGTGACTGTGATTTATGGAACGGGAGCTTACTGAAGAACTGGATCCGCAACCAGAAAGCTGTAAATGTGTCACAGCCTGTCATCTAGAGCACACCCAGAGGAACCCCAGGAGATCATTTCGGTAATAACTAGATATGCACATGCTTCTGTTCCTCTGTCTCTGAATTTTATAGCTATGTCGAATATCTCTCTAACACCTGATACAGACTTCATATTTCTCTTAACTTTAAGCAAGGCACTCTATTATTTTACAGGTACTGGTTCTTAAACCTGAGGTATAGGAATACCTATAGTGCACAGCACTCCAGGATGTTACTCCAGGGTACTCAAGGAGGCAGCTTTTTAACTCGTCTTGCGGGCCAGGTTTGCAGGGGGTATGTATAGAAAGAACTACTTTTCAGTATGGGTATTCGCCAGGAAAGGTCCTTCGTTGTGAGGAGATAGAGAGCACGGTGCTTGAACCGGCAGAGTCCTGCTGGAATTCGTAGCTGTTTTGTGCAGGGCTGCAACTTCTGCGGAAAAATATCCGGTCAGTGTTAGTCTGAGGGAATGTTCCTTAATGATATATTTAGAGAAAATTACAATTAAATTACAATTAAAATTTGCATAAAACACATATTGCATCCTCTTTATTGTGATAACGTCAGAAGTATCCATATAGAGAATGTTGTTATCGCAGCATCTTTGTACCACAGCTATAAAATGAATAAATAACTGGGGGTGGGGGGTTGGGATAAATGTAGTTTCTGTCTTTGGGAAGTGACTACATAGAGGCCAGAATTTGAATGTTAAGAAGCTTAGGTTAGCAAAGTGAGGAGTAGAAACAGCCATCTGGGGGAGCAGATGTTCATAGATTGCTTTAAAAGCTGCTTGGAAGGAATTATTGTGATGAAATCAAGCAATTACAGAGTTATTTTATATTAACATTCTAACTGTGTCAAGCTGTTATTTATTTAACTTATCTTCCCCTCTGAGAATTCAATTGCATTGAGGTTAGCTTAAAATCATGGAAAAGAATAACTTAATTTTTTAATCCTTCAGCTACTGAGGGAACTTTGAACCCATTATATTAAGATAATATAGTTATTGCTAATGGTATGGGACTTTGAATCTGAAGAATGGTACGCTTTCCACAGAACATTTTAGAAATACGTTCTTTATGAATACGAATTAGTGTTGTCATCTCTAATCACCGTTAACTTCTACCCAGAAGTTGGACCAACGTTTGGTTAGAGGATGCAGTGTCCTAGGATTGGGAGAGAAAAGTGCTATTTTCAAGAGGTTTGATTTTTATATGGACTTGATGTTAGCAAAAGCAGATGTGACAGATTACTATTGGTTTTTTTTCTCAGTTAGAAACAGTTAAGAGGTTAGAAATGCCTTTTGGATATTGAGCGAAATGAGAGTTTTCTTTTCCCTTGTTTATTGCTTGCGTACTGTGCTTAGCACCTTTCACCCCAGCCTCCGTGGCATTCGGTGCTTTACAAGCAGCGAACGAAGAGAGAGGTGCTCTGGCCCCAGCAGCTTACGGCTGAACCATGAGGCAGAAAACAGTGGCTGCTGGCAAGAAGAAGACATGGATGGAGATGGAAGCTGTACTGGATTTAGGAAACATTTGGAAAAGTGAAAACTTTCTAACACTGAGCCCCTTAGTCTCACGTTAGGATATGGCAAAGCGTTCTTGATGAGGAGTGCTGAACCATTGGGGGAGGAATATTCTTGGTACGCACAGACGAGGATTACATTTTTTTTTTTTTGACTTCCTAGTAACTTTTGTCCCAGTATCTAAAATCTAGGCATTATGTCTCACAAAACTAACCATTTTTTAGTTTTACTGTTAAACCTATGGGATGTTGAGGTGAGAGAGAAATTTGGAGTGAAACCAAAGAACTTTGGGAAGTCTGTTTCCCTGAACGTAGGGATTTATTAGCATGCGCAGACAGTTTGGGAGGTCCTACATCCCCGTATGTGTTTAGGGAACTCCTGCCACCCTGCAGAGGGGTCACCATCGGGTTTGTGCTCGACTCCGGGCCTGCAAGAGTACCTGTCCTGCGAGGAGTGGACTGCAAAGACAGATCCTCAGCAGAGCCATGGAATATGGAAAAGTAAAACACTGAAAGTCTTATTTCAGTGCTGGCAATTTTAATTTTGCTTGTAAGTAAGAAAATATATTGAGTAATAGAATTCATTCAGATTTTGTTTTTATGAAAATTAAATAACCATCCTGATGTTGAGAACTATAATACTATGAAATAGCTGCTTGATGAATATTTAATATTTTTGCTTTACAGAATTGTCAGAGTAACATTGCATAAAGTAAAAATATTTCACATTATACAAATAACTACTGCTGTCACACAATGGTTCCAGATTCGGTCAATGATTTCTTATGATGCCCGCTATGAATTCTCAAATAGCATTGCAGTAATCCATAGAAGATAGTTTCATTCAGCATGAAATAATTTGAGATTTTTTTTTTACTTCACAGCATGCATGTGTGCTTATCACACATCCCTAATGCTTATAGATATCCACCATTATCTGTTCCTTTCACATTTTCACTTTATGAAAATCTATATCCTGTTTATAGAATGGAATTAAAATGCTTGTATGCTGTTCAAATTAAATTTTGTTTGATCGCACCTGCTGATCTCCACAGTGCTTTATTTGTAAAAATGAAAGTGGACAGAGTCTGTAAATAGTTGCATGCTCTTCAGTTGAAGGTAAGTATTCACATATATGCAATCCAGCTTTAGGGAGTAAATGAAAACTAAAAGCTATTTTACTTGTTCGATGAATTACTAGCTTCTCCAGGATTTTACTGCAGTTTTTACGAACTATCCCACAAAATTAATAAAATTCTAGTGGCCCCTGTTTAACAGCGTAACATAAATTTCCGCTTTCAGAGTAGTTTCTGAATGTGATGGGGCTTTCGAGTGACCAGTAAAGCTAGTCTAAGTCTTCAGTTGAGTAAAGGACAATTTAAATGTTGGAACGTGTGTAATGTTAAATATATACACACAAATAGAAATACAGGAGCTGCTCTTCAACTCATTAATGTCAAAATCCCCATCAAAACGGGCTCTCTGTGATTCCTTAGGCCTCCCGAGGAGTCAGTGTCGGACCAGGAGTAAGACTTTGGCATCCTGAGCTGCAGTCCTATGCGCGGTTGTGAGTTTGGGGCCCTCCATCTCTCACACACCACCAGACTTGATTATTATTATTTTTTCCCACTTATTTTGTTGCCATTCAGAGAACAATGTGAGGAGTTTCGCACGTGGTGGGTGCAGAAGCACCGCAGGGAAGTGTGTGCAGACCGACTGGCCCAGCTAGCTCTTAAGGAGGAATTGAAAAAGCAACAACAGAAGGAGGAGCAAATGTTTGCCGAGCTTTGGGAAGAGGATAGGTTGGCCAAGGAAAAACGAGAGGCGGCGGATATGCAGAAAGCAGCAGAACAACATCGAGAAGTGCTGAGCGTCCTCGGAGCCCAGGTAGCCGTGCTGAACGCTCACAGAGAGGAAGCAAAGCGGCTGAAAGAAGAAGAGGCTCGCTTGCTGGTAATTTCCATGTCGTTCTCAATTCAGCATTCTCCAAAAGGCCCTCCTAACGACAGGCTTACTGGACATTGAGATTAATCTGTACCTTATTTGTATTTTCACTGATTCCATTAGTACCTGAGGCCCTCCTATTATGTTAAGCCTCTTTTCCAGAGCCATGGCAAAGGCACTCCAGTTTACAGAGGGAAATGCGTCTCTTGAAATTTAGCATGTAATGGGATTGTAGCATTCAAAGCCTCGTGGAGCCTTGGTGGGAAACTGAAATGTTTTTCAGCTTTTGCCAGACGTCTTTGCAATTTTCTGACTTCCAGTTTCCAGTGGGATAGCTAGAGAGATTCTTGTATCCCTGCAATAATGCACCCCAGGTCTCGGGGTGAGCCACAGAGCCAAACTGCAGCCCCGGGTCATGTCTCCCAGCTTGTTCTCACCCCGCTCTTTCTAATCCAAGGCTTGTACTGGAGCTGGCCGGGAGCACAGGCAGCCAAGCCCTTGAGCAGGGAGACGTGCAGGGCCTGTTGGTGCACCCGGGGCCCCTGACAGATACGTAGCTATAAGGAGCGGGGGTGTGTGTTTGTATATGAAAAATGCCAACCGCTTATGCAGTCAGGCTTTGCTTGCTCATACTTCCATTTTTTACAGTTATGTGGTTGCATTTCACCATTCTGTGGTCAGTAATGCAGGCAGCAATGTTTTGCAGGTGTAGGTACCCCCGCTGACTGAATTTCAGAATCTACACCCCTTTTTAAAGCTCAGTCTTTAACAGATACAAATCTGCAAGCAATGCCAAAGCTCTTTCACCTATTAGAGCTGGCTGGTGGCAGGTGCCACATCGTGGGAAATATTCAACTCATTTAGCTCAACTCTTCTGGCCACTGCCCTCTTCTTTTCTCGTCTTCCGCCAGCGTAGGCTTGGCTTAATTGTGTTAACTTTGGTGGAGCTCACTAATTCACAATACTCTGCCTTGACCTAATGAATTATGGGAGCCTGCTTGGTTCAGACTCAGTCCTCATTTTTTAGATAGGCTGTGTGAGCGGTATTCATGTTGCTGCTATTCACACCTAGTGATCAAATGATCAGGCAGGGTACTCCAAGGCTTTCAAAGCTGATACTGGCAAGGTGTGAACTCCATTTCTTTTTAGAAATAATGGCGATTATGAGTCTCAAGTTTGGAAGATCTTGCTGTAAAAGTGCAGAGTCCTTATTGCAAGCTAGACTGCACTGTTTCACTTTTTTGAAAACATGTGCAAGAAAAGTCTTTTCTTTTGGCAACTTCTAAGGCACAGCTAGTCCTCTGAGACAAAAAGCATTTCTTACCTGGCCTTTTCAGAAAAATGGTGTTAGAACAGAAGACTTTGTAGCTTCCCCTGAAGACAGCTGCCTTGAGCTCTGTGAAGGAGAGCAATTCCTGGTAAAATGGTATAATCTCTGAAAAAAAGCTTTTCAAAGGGTCCATAAAGGAGAGTTTCTGTTTTGAAAATGGGGCACAATCCTTTTTCCGCAGAAGAGCCGTGTGACAGATGGCCGCATGACAGGTATCTCCGAGCAGAGTCTGTAGCCTCTAATGATCAGAGGTTTCATCAGAGTTAAGGGCAGGCAATGGACAGCTAAGTGTATCTGTGTCTAACTGCTTTCTACGGGCTGTTGCAAAGGAAAAAGGTTTTTTGAGGAAGGAAAACGTGCTTTCCTGCTTGTAGCCACAGAAAGCGCTAGACATGTTTCTGCCAAGGCATTTCAGTCCTGGCTTGCAGAAGGATCATTGGCAACAATTTCTTTGCATGTTTACAATGTTGTATTAATGCGTCATATAAACTGCCATAGAAAAAGCACAGTGGATCCCATCCTTAGCAATTCTCATACACCTCCAATGGTGTCAGGATTCAACCGAAGACGTGTGCCATTTTGCGAACTTCCCCAGTAGTTTGCTCACTGTTCCCACCTTCTTTCCTTCTTTACTGTTCAAAGTCTTTTGGATTACTTATTCAGTGGCTCAGATAAGATACTGAGAGTTTCGAAGCTGTTTTATCAGCTTCCGAAAGTGCATTTGGCCATTCAGACAGAGCCTCTTCCACCATCCTGGGAAGGCAATGCAGCAATGTCAGCTGCAAGAGTCAGGATGGGTGTGTTATGCAGCCAAGCGCAGCTTGTCTTTCCATGTGGAGGGGATTAGAAAGGCTGTTTATAACAAACTTACTGATGCATTTTAGAAGAATTGTTTATGTTATGAAAGAGCCACTTTATTTAAAACTAGGTTGACAAGACAGCTAAGATGTAGTTTCTGAGACCTGTAGATAAGTTAACGATGGCCCCATCCTGTGTTACTATGATGTTTGAGTGCAGGATGTTCAGGAATTATACTAAGTTACTTTATTGATTCTACTCGCTAATTTTTGGTTAAATAATCTTGTGTGCGTATATATATCTGTAACATTCATTAACATATACAGTATATATAATATACTCAGTTATAGGGAGGAGAGCATGGCTCCGCTATTGGCTAGTGGTTACAGCTGTGTATGAGGGCTTGGATATGGATCATATGTGTTGAAATTCTTTTAATTTCCTCTAAAGAGATGACTCTGTCTATCCGCTTGAAGTATTTAGAGAGTGTCAGGCATTCCAGTATTTTGTTCTGAAGTGCATGTGATAATTAAAGATAAAATCCTGAAATCTAATGAATGGTATGCTAAAATGTTCATGCTTTAACAGCTCTAAGAGATGACACTAATAATTCCAAAATCTTCTAGTGTCAGTCAGAAAGGCTTTTAATATTTATCTTCCCTCTTCTGTGTTCCAATTAAACTGATCCTACCCATCATTTTGTTTGAAGTTATACAATGTTTTGCAAGTTGGCTGTTCTTATTGTTGTAGGAAGAAGAAAAGCAACTGCTTAAACTAGAAAGCGAACGACTTCAGATGGAGAAATTACAAAAGCAGAAGGAGTGCGGGGACATGTTGGTCAGTGCAGCACAGGACAAGATGAAGCGTCTGAATGAAGAAAAACAGGAGGAACTTGCCCTAGATATGAAGATCCTAGAAAAAACTCTTCAGGAATCCCAAGGGGCCACAGAGGAGAAAAAGAAAAGAAAAGTAAGGGCAAGAGATGTTCATTTTGAAGTTTGGGGCAATACCTCACCTGGACTAACTTTATGGCTGTTAGTGGAGTTGCGCAGTATAAATGAGATCAGGCACAAGCCCTCTTCTCCGAACAAGGTGATTCTTTTGTTGTGTTGCCTGTTGCCTCTCCTCCTGCCAGCGCGCTACCCTTCTGAAGAAGCCTGCTATCCGTTGCAATCACAGTGAGTACTTTAAAGCTTGTTCTGAGGTCTGCAAGGCTGCGAGGTTAGACCAAAGGAGAGGGCTCCCAGGTAATCCTGGAATCTTGTCCCCTCCCTGTGCTGATTTCATTATGCATAAATTACTTAACCTTTTGGGGCTTTATCCTGTGTGGATATAATGGAGATGAGCAAAAGTTTTCTGTTTCATGGACCTAATTTATTAAATATTTGTAACTGCAGAGGAAAGTAAATATTTAACCTACTCTAATGCATTAAAATACTAAGAAACAGTTTTAAATCTTTAATTATTAGCTAGCTATAATTGTAGTTGAAGAATACAAGTGAAAGTTTTTTGCATGCCACAGCATAACTTGAATTCCGGTTTTTGTATTGCTACAGAAGGATCATAAGCAACTATTGCTTCATTTTATGTGGTACTTCTTGGTGTTCGTTTTAGTTATAACAAGTTAAGAACACTCCTCTGCAGCAGAGGTTCTATTTTTACTTTAAAAATATATACCTTCTTTTTAAGCAAATCAGTTTTCATTAGCAATGGTAACCTGCCCTTCTTTATTCCTGGCAGAAAAGATGCCACTGCCAATGTCTGCAGCTACTTCCTTCAGTTTAGGCACGAGACCTTGCATTAAATATCTTGGAGATGCCATGAAAACATGGATGTGTCTATCACTTCTTTAATTTAAAACAAGTAGATTGCCCAGCATTTGGGGTGAAAACAGGTCTCGAGGTACCTTTAAGACAGAGCAGGGAGCTGCATTCCTTATTCTGCTCAGGTATTTAAAAGCTCTTGTAGGTTAGAAAAGTGGTATCAACTTCTTCCATAACCACCAATCACTTAGACCTTGGGACAAAATTAGAAGAGCTGATATTTAGAACTCTATTCGCTCCCATGTCTTCTAATGTAGGTGGGGTGAAGTCGTCCAGGCAGCTGTGGAAAGTGTTTGCCAAATTTCTGTGCTGCAGGCAGCCGAACTGCTAGGAGGAGAGCACAACTCTCTTGTCGTTGTATTTGTTTGGCTCTCACACTGTTCTCCAGGCATCGGCTACTGGCTAGGGGACAGATTTTGCACAGTTCTTTCTACGACAGAGCTCTGAACAGAGATCTCTCTTCCCAGCCCCATTTCCCACATTGGCCACAAACCACCGTTTCTCTTCACTTTTTTGAAAAGCGCGGTTTTAACTTGTTTGCTCAGATCTGCAAATGTCCGTGTGTTTGCAGCAAGAGCTTTTCAAGGAGCAGCAGACTTACTGGGCACACCTGGCACAACAGCTGGAGGAGGAGAAACAGCGAGAAAAAGAAGCGGACAAGCTCCTTGATGAAGAGATGGCGAAGGCTTGGGCCAAGAAAGCTGAGCAATTGCGATTAGAAAAGGAAGCTAGAAAACAGCTACTGAAAGATGTCCTGGATACAAGACAACTGCAGATTGAGGAGAAGTGTAAGTAGTAACAGCTCCCTGTCTGTGCACCAAACAGGGCTCTTGCTATGTGAATGCAAGTTTTGGCAGGGGCAGGAGCAGGTGCAGAGGGAGTACCACACACCGCTTCCTGGAGGACCGTCTGGCCTGGCGTGCACGGGTTGCATGGATGAGTGTACAGCAGTGCTATTGTCTGTGAATCTGCTCCTGAAACTTTATTCCTACGGGCAGTGCTTACACCGATTTCTCATTGCTATTACCAGAACAAAGCCTAGTAAAGTAAGGCTTGCATGAGTGTGCAATCATTATTATTAATTACATTATTATTGTTAAGAAGTTCTGAATGTGAAATCTTTTCTGAGCGATGACAAACAAACAGGCTAAGAATATCCTTCCTATTGCTTGTGTGCCTCTCCAGAAACAAAAAAGCTCAGGCTTGCTATTTAGGCCGCTTGGCTTGAATACAGTCTCACTGTTCCTTCAAGCTTAGCAGGGCTAAGCAAGTAAGTATCTTCTGAAAGTATTTTTTTTATTTTTTGCAGTGGAGAGAAATGCAAAGGAACAGGAAGAACTTGCCCAAGAAAGGAAGCTATTTGCTGAAGCAATCACAGAACTCAAACGTATAGAAGAAGAAAAATACGCAAGGTATTTTTCTTTTATACTGCTGGTTCCTTTTATTGCAGGCCAAGCTTTTAAACTTCCAAGTTGGCTAATTCTTCTTTTCAGCTGACTGTGCAAGAGAGTACTTGGCTCTCTTCTGTACAGAGAGGCTCTGCCACAAAACTTAACAGGTCCAAACTGCTCAGTAGCAGCCCAGTTATATTGCAATTGGTATTAGATTACCAATTCTGATCTCATCATACAAATAATGGCGTTTCCTTACATATACTTGTTTTGGACTCTTTGGACCATCATGTGACTTATACTAATTGTGTTTAATAAACACATCCTCTGACACTCTGAGCTGTTACTAGGAGTGGCCGAGGTTTGGGGAGGAGAATTTAATGAAAGGTTAGTTCATTACTTACCTAGGAGAATTTGGCCGTTCAGACTTCTTGCTGAACTCCACCCACATACCTCCCTTGAACAATAGTACAGTCAGCCACAAAAATACCAGACTAGTGCACATCACCCCGTTCCACAGGCTTCTCATTGCCTTGCTTTTCCTCAAGGCAAGAATTTTGTTATTCGCAGTAGCTAAAATGTACCTCTGGGTGTCATGCCAAACCTAGGGCAAAGCACCTTATTTCACTCATGCGATTACCTTTTGCTACTTCTGCCCATTCTCTCGGCACGTGCGAGCAGGAGGTAACCGAGTAGCTCCTTCCAGAGCTAGTATCTGTTGCATCTCCGATAGCGTTATCGGTAACGTTCTCTTGGGTACGGCGGAAATCGCACCCTGTGGAAGTAAACGTGCAGGACTTCACTTTGGGTATGCTTCACTTTGTGGCAAGGATGGCATTCAGTGGTGTCAGTAAGTGCCACGTGGTTCAGCCTGTATTGTTTTAGCACACAAGTCTTGACTAGACTGCTGGCATTTAAGCGTCTACGTGATTTCTGCTCTTGAAGTGCCTGAGCACGTAGGTAGGCTTCCACTGCCACTCCAGTGGGTAGTGAAAGAAATACGTGGCTCTTGAGGTAGAGTGGAAGGATGATTTCTTCTGACAGCCATTTCCTAGCATATCCGCACAGTGCTGTAGCAGGAGTCTGCACCTTGCCTTCCCAGTCGGAAGTGCGTTGTCGTTATCTTCAAGGAGGGAGTGGAAACTGGGTGTGAGGATGCCACAGCAGTGAGCCACAGCTAGGAAAGAGCTGAAACCTGACATGCTCGTTCTCTGTCTTCTCATTGCCCTGAGGGTGGCCAGAGAAAGCGTGCTGAAACCAAGGGGGCTTTCTTGCCTTCTTTTTTTTTTTTTTTTGTTAAGCACCGATTTTGCAGTCTGCGTTACAAAAGACAGCAGAATGCAATTCATGCTTCAAAGAACTTCAGGTTAATTAACAATGTCACATTTATTTAGTAGAGTGGCAGTTACTGTTATCTCCTAACAGGAGTTTGAATCGTTCTTTGGTCTAAGGTTGCATGTTAACAGATAAAAACCCAAGTTATTTACACGTACCTCATAAATAAGTTATTCATATGTCATTTCCAGAAAAGTAAAGGAAGCAAAAGAATACCAAGAGCAACTCAAGGCTCAGATTGCCTATCAACAACAAGCCCGTGATGCTGAGGAAGAAGAGAAGCAGCGAGAATATGAATCAGCCCTGGCAGCAGAGAGAGCTTACCAGAAAAGAATAGAGGATATTCTAGCAAGGCCTTCTGTGACACTAGCAGAAATCCATCCTTTGAGGAGGAGACTCTTGTCTAGCACACAAGATCACTTATGATATTTTAGCTCACTTTAGATTGCATTTAAAAACATTTTTCTAAGGGCGTTTATAACTGATTCTAATTAGGAGGCCCCTCTGCCCTGTTAAGCTCAAAATATTTTACTGGCAAATAGAAGAAATGTGGTATTTTAAAGGTTATTTTCTCCTTATTGGATTTTCTTTCACAAATTCACTGATCCAAATCAAAGCGTTTGATACTTTTAATATAAGAGTATTGTACCTTCTCCATAGTACAATACTGTATTATTATGGCATGAATGATATGCAGGTGTTCCTTAAAATCTGCAAACTGAAAACTTTGCGGAAGAGTTTCAGCAAACTTTTATTAAAATGCCGTTCAAACAGCAAATGTTTGCAAACCTTTTCTTTTTGTCCTTAGACAAATGGCATTAGGTAGCACATCTTCATTTTCCTTGTTAAATATAAAATGATGACTCTATTTTACGATGGCTAGACAGTGAAGAACAAATACAGCTTTGTATGTATTTGATAGCTTTTGAATCGTCTGTGGGACAGCAGAGTCCCAAAGCTAGTCTGTAAGGACAAATTTACTTGTGCAGGACCAAAGTCGTCTTTTTTTTTTTTTTTTTCCCAAAAAAGGTTATTCTTTATCCTGTTGGTGGCAAGTCTACATCTTAAAACTATCTTAAATTGTCACCATTGTCATAGTTTGAACACACGTGGAACAGGGGGCCAGGGCACTAACAAAGTTTTAAAAACAAAGCAACACAAAAAATGGCTACACATTAACATGAAGGTCTTGGAAGGGTTTTGGAACAGGGAAGAAGGGACACATCCTTGCAGCCCGCCCTACCCTCAGCTCTCCTACAGTAAGGACCAGATCTCCCTTTAGGCAGGAGAAGGAGAAGGGGCCATGGGGAGGACAGATGAGAACGACCCACTTTTTCCGCACAGTATTCCCCTCAACCAGCTCCCTGGTGTTTTCCTTTTTTTCTTTTCTCTTTGCTTTTTAAGAAGAGGGAAGTGAAGAATTCATTTATAACCTCATTCTTTCCTTGCTAATGGGTTTTGTGGCATCCTGAGATGTTTAATCTTTCCCACATTTTCCCATTTGAGCCTTTGGTGCTGCATGTCTGCAAATACTTCTCTCTTCCTTCAGCTTTTCAGCTTCTACCATCTCTCCTCCAACCTCTGCTTTTTAACCCTCTTTCTTCTTCTTCTTCAACTTCCATCCCTCCCTAAGCACTTCCTCTACCACCTTCCTCTTCCTCCTCTCAGATCCCCTCCTTCTCTTCCCTTTTCAGTGTTTAGCTCCCCATTGGCAAGGACCAGGATTCTTATGATTTCGCTGGGTGGGAGCGTGAACGGCTGCACAGAGAAGCTGATAAATGTCAGAATGGCTGGAACGAGTCAGGAATAAACTACCCGTACAGTCACCTCATCACCTCAGCTTATAGCAGGCACTGAGCTGGCAGACTCGGTCGTCTGTGGAGGAAGTTGTATAGCTGTTTGCAAATGACCAATAACAGATGTATTAATCTGAAACAACATCACTGATCTTAGTAGAGCAGCCCATCTAAGTCTGGTGGTAAATGATGGAAGACCCTGGCTTCTTTCCCACAGGTGTAAAACCTCTCCGTGGGCAGCTTCTTGAGACAGCAGATGAAAGAGGGACAAATGTTCATAAATGTAGGAGCATTGCAAACCTGGAGAGGGCCAAGAGCTTGTTAATGATGATGCCTATCCCTTACATAGTGCTTTTTAGCAACAATCTCCAAAGCCATACTGGACTTCAGAGCCATTGCTGCCATTTTGCGGGTAGGAAGAACCATCACAGATAACGGAAAAGATGTTTCATCAGTCCGGAGAGCTCAGGTAGTCACAGGTCTCATCTCGTCGCTAGGTCAAAGTGCCAGAGAACGATTAAGAGACTTTTTTCCTGGTCTGCGACAGACTCCCAGCGTGGCCCTGGGTAAGCAATGTAGGTTTTCTTCACTACAGTAACCCATCTTTGAAAAGAACTTAATAGCACATTTGTGATTCCAGGATTAATTAATAGTGTGTTATTAAAGGCTGTGATACTGTCATTGGGTACACCTAATCCATGAGACGTGTGAAGTAGCACATTCATGAGCTCAGTGAATTTGCGCCATGCAGAACCATAATATTTTTTTTTTCCTTTTTGATAAAATAATAACCCAAAGGAGGTGGTCACAATTCCTGCTCCTACAGGCAAAACTCTTCTCTGTGCTGACTATGAAGTTTGCACAGAAGTGCAAGACCAGACTGCAGTAGGTTTGCCTTCAGAAACCTTGATAGCCGCCTGGTAACAGGATTGAGTACAAACTCCTTTGAGAGAAAGCTTGTGGTCAATGAAGATAGGGCTGTTGCTGACCCCTGTGCTGCTGAGTGCTTTGGAGACTTCAAAGCGAATCTAGAAGAACAGATAAGGTTCCTACCAGACCGCTGAGCGGCCAAACGTGTCGGCAGACTCCTTTAAAAGCATCATCTCGATGCCCCGTAACAATTCCAGCTGAGCAATGCAGTAAGACTGATTTTCTTTGCCAAGACTGAGGAGTTTCCTTTCCTTAATTCTCTTGATTTCCATCCTGTTCCAGTGCCTTTGATGTTCCTGCAGTAAACTGGGCACGTAGCAGGGCATCGAGTAGTGCACGCTTCCAACAGTGGTCATGCCTTTGCTTCCAACCAATATTCATGTCAGATTTTTAAGTTACAGTAAACATTAACTAGCAAAATGACTAATAGATTCTGAATTGCGGCTTACGGGTCTGAAGAACCTCATGAGCATTAAGTAATACTCACGTGCGTGGTATTTCCCCAGGGCAGCTGAGAAATTCTGGAAGCAAACCACCTGTTAAACCAGGAGCGTGTGAACAGCACCGATAAGGGAAACTACAGCCCAGTCTGTGGCTGGGTGACCTCGCCTTAGGTGAGGGAGCTTTGAACAGAATCTGCTTCGTTTACAGGAAAAAAATCTATTTAAGGGGAAAAAAAACCTCCCGTGGTTACGGGAAGGGTTAGCCGGTGGCCTGCAGGACAGTGTGGCTACAGCGAGTTGCTTGGAGGCTGCAAACAAAAACTGGTTTTGTGCCCTTTTTTTTGCTTTCATGCCAAATCCTTCCCCAGCATCCCTGACAACTGGGACCAGCTGTGTAGAAAAGAAAGATTTTTGGTAAGAAAGCAAACGAGAGCACTAACAGGGTGCAGAGGGGGTGCACCACCTCCTCTGCTTTCGCTTTGTTTTTGACCTTCCCTAGCAGCGATAAATCCCGTTTCCCTAGCTCTGTGTTGCACTGCTGTGAGCCGCGCTCCCCCTGTCCACGTGCTGGGTTTACTTTGGCTAATGGCCAAAATCCAAGGCAGAAGGTAAACTGAGGTGGTGATGTTAGGCTGAGCAGCCCAGGAATCGCAAAATCCATCCTCGAGGCCGCCGGGACAATTCGGCATGCAACAAAGCAAATCGAGGACTCGCCTGCGGTTGGTCGGTAGCGCGGGAAGCCTGTTGTTCAGCCAGCTCTCTTTGCAGTTACAAGCGGTGCAACCTCCAGCCCTACTATTCTGAGAAGACTTTCTGTAGAAGACTTGGAGGCCACTTGGCATGTTTAGCCCTATTGACATGTTTGGGACCCCAAAACTACATCTATGATGTTGAATTTCGATGCGTAAGCAGTACGTTCATACTGCTAGCTTGATGACTTTTTGAGTTGTCCGAAACTATGCTCCAATTTTTTGCATCGCTTGTGTAATAATCAGCGCTAGTAGCATCATATACAAGAGAAATCCAAGTCATGGGGGAAAGGTGGGAAGCAGCAGGAAGTGCAAGTCTCCTTAGATGTTCAACCCTGATTTATAAGGGTTCTGTCCTTTAATATCCCCTGGACCTCACAAGGCAACAGACGGCCAGACAAGGCCTTTGGTGCGTTGACCGCGTGAGCCAAGCGAGGAGAGCCTGGACTCACTGACAAACTGGGGCTCTCACGTGCCTTGTCCAGATTTTTAAAGCATTAACATTTCATGCGTTGCATGAAACCAAAAGGGGTCTCCAGCGCCTAACTAAAAACGTGCAAAAGCAACCCAGCGCACCCTGTAACAGCGGCGGGGAGCTCAGAGCACGTGTGAGAGGATGAGACCTTCGCATCTCTTCACCTTCGCTGAAACTCCTGTTCCTGAGGACACCGGTGCTGCAGCTTTTGTTTCCGCAGTAGGTTTCACGCAAGGAGATGAGCAGGTACCGCCACGTGACAATACACCTGCTGTTTATTGAATTCCTCTGAGATGGGTTTGCGGCAGGCTAAAGGATGCTGGTCTCGTTTTCTCCAGGTATCTGGAAGCTTATGAAGATACCGCTGGGGACGGGTGACCTGCACCCCAAATCACGGGGGAGGCCCCGGCAGGCACTTGTGGAGGAAACAGCTGTAGCCACGACTGAGCCCCAGGGAGCACATTAGCTGCCTGCTTGGTTAAAATGCAAAATGCCATGAATGATAACGAACAGCAACGGTGGTCAATTGGGAATATTTTGCATTTTCGTGGCATCATCCTCTCCAGGCTCGATAAGCGCCCTGTAGGCCTGAGTTAACCCGCAGGGTGCTCCCGTGCGAAGGGAGGAGGCAGCGCAGCCTGGCGGGCAGCCACCGGCCGATGTGGCGGCGACAATCTGGGGCCGTTTCAGCCCAAATGAGGGAGGTTCTCCCTGCCTGAGCCCTGCCCGGCCGCTGCAAGCCTCACTCCGCAGTTTCGGGTGGTGCGGCTGCTCCGTGGGGCGCCGTGCTCCACAGGGGCACCTGGTGGCTTGCACTCTTCTGCCCTGGGGAGAAGGGCCGAGCCAGGCTGAGCCTAGCTGAGCTGGGCCAGCCCAGTCCATGCTGTGCTGAGCCGAGCCAGGCCAGGCCAGGCCAGGCAGAGCTGGGCCAGGCTGTTCCATGCCAGTTCGGGTTATTTGGTGCCAGTCCATGCCATGCTGGTCCATGTTGTGCCAGTCCATGCCGTGCCGGTCCACCCCGTGTCGTGCCGTGCTGTTCCATGCCCTGCCAGTCACTC